GACACACTATGATTTTTCCTAGTCTCTTTCTGTATAAATCAGTCCCCTAAAACTGCTTGAAAAAGCTTGTCTTTAATGAACTTAGAATCATTATATAACTTTTAATGTAAATTCAAAACCATAATATTTAAAAAGATCACACTGTACCATTTTCACAGAAGTAAAAGTGTCAAAGGTAGCAATATGAGTGCTGCTGGCAACTGTATATGTTGCCTTGAATAGTTTAGTTAGGGACATGTGGGCTTTTGTCTCTCCAGCACCTACATCCCTTCTCTTTAAGTCGAACACCTGTTTCCTGTGGAGAACCTACTTCATGTGATTGGTCAGAGGCTGGCCGGAGTACACCATCTGCCAGGCCACAGTGATGGCTCTGGAATAGGCAAGTGACCCTAGTCAGGCTAATCAGAGCACTCTCTGGAGTTTTGCCACTGGAGCTCTCAGGAAGAACTGCCTCTTTCCACTGGGCCATTAAGCCAAGACTAGATAAGCTTAAAGCTGCTGCCACCAATGTCCCTGGCAGTAGGAAGGAAGCTGTCTGCAGAATGAAACCAACATACAGAGAACGACAGGATGAGAGGTAGAGAAGGAGGAAGCCCTAGCAACACTGTGTGAGGCTCACCATCTCAACTAGACTAAAGCCTGCTATATCCTAGTCCTCAGTAATGTGAACCGATAAATTCTCTTTTACGTGACTGGATTTCTAGGTCTCCAAGAGAAAAATTCCTAAGTGCCTAATTCTAAATATATAAATAACCTAGAAACCAGTTTTGATTCATCTGAAAATCTTTGTGGAACAAGGTAGGAGGACACAAGGAAAACGGCAGAGATGGAAGGATGACAAGAAACTAACTAACTAGATGAGAAAGGCATATATACGAGTTCGAAGGCTAAGTTATTTCTAATGGATAGCTTAGTTTTTGGAGCCAGACTGCCTTGGCTTGAATTCTGGCTTGGCCACTTATAAACTCTGATTTTGATCAAGTTATTTCACCTCTTTGTGCCTCAGTTTTCTCATCTGGAAAAACAAGGATAATGATAACATCTGTCTTACAGGGCTAATGTGAGGAATGAGTCAGGGCAAGTCCTGAAATATGACACACACTCAAAAAATACCAGCTACACCAGGCACGGTGGCTCACGCCTATAATCCCAGCAATTTGGGAGACCAAGGCAGGTACATCCCTTGAGGTCAGGAGTTCGAGATCAGCCTGGCCAACATGGTGAAGCCCCCTCTCTACTAAAAGTTGAAAAATTAGCTGGGCATGGCAACACATGCCTGTAATCCCAGCACTGGGGAGGCTGAGGCAGGAGAATCACTTGAGATCAGGAGGCAGAGGCTGCAGTGAGCTGAGATTGCACCACTGCACTCCAGCCGGGGTGACAGAGCGAGACTCCCTCTCAAACAAACAAACAAAACATACCAGCTATTAATAATATGTTATAAGAACCCAAAAGTTAAACTTCTACCTTTAAAATAATGCATTTAGAATAATTTAATACGTTAGGAAAGGAACACAGAATTTAAAAAAACAAGCTGCTATCTCCATGCATATCCATACAATGGAATATCATATAGCCATAAGAGGAATGAAGTACCACTACATGCTATCACGTGGGTGAACCCTGAAAACCTTATGCTAAGTGACAGAAGCCAGCCACAAAGGTCACAGGTTTTATGATTCTATTTATATCAGAACAGACAAATCCAGAAAAGAGAGACAGAAAGTGCTTGTTAGGAGAAGTGAACTCTAACTTTCTTTTCAGGGTGATGGAAATATTCTAGGAGTACCTCATGGCGATGGCTGCGCAACACCATGATTACAACAAAAACCACTGAAATATATACTTTTAAATGGTGACTATTAAATGAACTATATCCAATTAAAAATAAACTGAGTTTATCTTTAAGAAGTCTGTATCATCATTTATCAAGGATCACTCATGTTAAGCAGATGTTAGTGAAGTGTGCTAGTCCTGTTAACAAGGGATGAGTGTTAACAGGCCAGAACTGTTCATAAGGAATGAAAGAGTGTAGGTAATTTCTGAGTAATGTGGTTGTGTATGTTACACAACTTAGAGTTGACTCAGAACTCTAAAGGAAAATAAATTATTAAAGTTACACTTTTTATTTTTTTTTGTTTTATTATTTTATTTTTTTGAGACAGGGGTCTCGCTCTGTTGCCCAGGCTGAGTGCAGTGGCACAATCTCAGCTGACTGCAACCTCCACCTCCTGGGCTCAAGCAATCCTCCCACCTCAGCCTCTGGAATAGCTGGGGCTACAGGCACGTACCACCACCCCTGGCTAATTTTTGTATTTTTAGTAGCAATGGGGTTTCACCATGTTGCCCAGGCTGGTTTTGAACTCCTGAACTCTAGTGATCAACCTGCCTCAGCCTCCCAAAGTGCTGGGATTATAGGCACGAGCCACTGTTGCAGGGCTGAAGGCCCCACAGGGTCATGGGGTGTGCTGTATGCTGTGCTGAGGCGCAGGATCCAAGAAATAAAGAGACAGGACACAGAAGTACAAGGAAAATGCAGCTGGGCTCAGGGGGCCACGCCACCTATAAGCGGAGTCAGGTGAGGTCCCGAATGTCCAGAAGCATCAGTATTTATTGTGTATAGGTTAGGGGGCAGGGCAGTGAGTGAAATCATCTTTAAGGATAGTGATAGGGTCGTGAGCAATAAAACATGGGGTCCACCCCCATTAGGTCACCTAGGCCAGGAGGTGGACAGTGCACAGCAAGGGGCCCATTCCCATGAAGGCAAGGGCCATGTGCGGTAAGGGGTCCACCCCCATTAGGTCACCAAGACTTGAAGGTGGGCTGTGCGCAGTGAAGAGGGTGCAGTGTGCGATACTTCCATCTGTGGGCAAACTACTTCTAAGAAGATTTATAGGAGGATGCTTTAAGTCACATAGCAGTGACAGAGCTGTCAAGGTTACCGCCACCTTCTGGCAGCTTCCAATGAGTTCTATGGGAAGATGCTTTTCAGCAGCACAGTAGCAAGAGCTGATGAAGTTCACAGTCACCAAGGTGGATTGCCGGTCTGAGGGCAGCCTTCCACAAGAACTGGAGCAAGGTCCTACAACTCCTTTATCAGGAGGAGTGGCTCTTGCCTCAAGCCTGCCATACAGCGGGTATCTTTATGATACTGAACGCTGCCGCCTGGGCCATGGATTCTTGTCCTGGTATAACTGTTTTCTCTCAAATCATGCTCTGCACTGTGTCTGCTCTAGACATTCCTCCGATTATAAACTAAGATACAATTATATATACGTAGGGAAATATTCTTTAGGCACTCATACTATCAACTATTATATGATTATATATAGAGGATTATATAAAGGGATTCTTCAAGCCCTAATTCTATAAACTAATATATGATTATATAAAGGATTATATAAAAGGAAATTGCTGAGTAGTAACACTATAAAGTGAGATATTCCTCAAGCCCTAACTGTGCCAGAGTTCTGCTTAGCTCTCATTCCTCGGTGCCGATATGGAGGGTTACCCACAACTGTACCTGGCCAGGCTACGCTTTTATTAGTAGTAGTAGTATTTTTGAAATCCAGTCTTGCTCCAGTATGGAGTGAAGTGGCTCGAATTCGGCTCACTGAAGCCTCCATCTCCTGGGTTCAAGCAATTCTGCCTCAGCCACTGGAGTAGCTGGGATTACAGGCGTGTGCCACTATGCCCAGCTAACTTTTTTTTTTTTTGTATTTTTAGTAGGGATGGGATTTTACCATGTTGGCCAGGCTGGTCTCACACTCCTGACCTCCCAAAGTGGTGGGATTACAAGCATGAGCCACCATACCCGACCCAGTCTACACTTTTTAAAGTGACATTTTACACTTTAAAAATTTGTTTGGTACTCCGTGGCTCAGGCTTGTAATCCCAACACTTTGGGAAGCCAAGGCAGGAGGACTGCTTGAGGCCAGGAGTTCCAGACCCCAACTCTACAAATTTTTTAAAAAATTACCTGGGTGCGGTAGTGCTAGCCTATAGTCCTAGTTACTAGGGAGACTGAGGCTAGAGAATCACTTGAGCCCCAGAGTTCAAGGGTATGGGCTATGATCATGCCACTGCACTCCAGCCTGGGTGACAGAGTGAGATCTTGTCTAAGGCAAAAAAAAATCTGTCTGCTTTGTTTTTAGGAAGTAGATCTAAATAAAAGGAAACACAAAGCCTGATTCCTTCAGCACCTTCAAGAACACATCAAGAATACTAAGAACAAAGCATCTTATAAATTCAACATGAACTCCTGGTATTAAACAATTATAGAAACTGCAAAGAGTACTTCAAAGCAACAGAATTATAGACACAGTAGATGGATGTATTTACCATCCATGTTATAAGTTAAAGGTCTGTTCCTTCAAAATTACCACCAGAGGGGAGATTCAAGATGTGTTCCTCCCTCTGTGTCATCCGTTGTCCCAATACATCAGATGCCATTTAATTCTAACCCTTGCCCACAAAGTCTATCTGTCGGCTAATCCTCTGCTTTGGGACCTGTCTATCCCCTACTCAGCACTCCCTTCACTGCAGGCTATGTTCAGTGAAAGACAATATGTACAACATCCAGTAAAATATACTAAAAGAAATGTGTGAGTTTCACACTTCAAAGATCTGATGAGACAAAATCCTGGAAGTCTGATTAAGTACGAGGCAGTTCAGAATTATCTTTGAACATAATATATGAGAAGAAACTTTACTCAATGGGAATTCATCTGTAGATCATAAGCCAAAGACAAACTAGACACACTCATAGAGAAAATCTAGGAAGCACACCAGCAAAAGGAGAAATCAACTGCCTCCCTGTTTGAAATACAGATTACATGTTGAGTTTACAGAACTAAAAAGTTTCCTAGTAACAAATTACTATTTTTAAATGTAAACTAAAGAGCTGTAACAGAGTATAAACAATTAAAAACAGAAAAGCATTAAAAAACAAACAAACAGGAAACAATGAAAGGAAATAAATACTGTATTTTTAAACCTACCGAAAATCAATATCCAATAAAAGGCTTTTAATGTTAGAGTTCTTGTCAGCTGATGCTGTCAACCTGATCAGCTCATGCAACCTAAAGCAATTAGTGAAAGCAAATGTAATAAGAAATCACAAATGTCATAGACAATAAACAAACAAACAACAAAACCATCAATGTTCTGCTTGTATTTGTGATATTTCAATGAGACACTGAAGAGAATTTGGCAGGTGTAATCAAGGTTTCAATTTTGCAAATATTTTTTAAGAGCAGAACTTATCTGAAACAGAGAGGTCTAAAATTATAAACAATTTGGGAGTTAAATCAGAAAGAATCTTCTCTCATGTACCAGAGAGGAATCTATGAAGATTTTTCTAAATGGAATACAGGTTGCAAACTCCTTCAGAAAGGGACCCTGATTCACATTTTAAATATTCAAAGCTTCATGCTATACCTTGCACAGGGTAAATAACTACTTAATAAAATCTTCGTACAGTTTGAATAGTGGTGAGAAGATAATTCTTTAAAAAATCATATGACATACCTTGGTGTTCCAACACATAGTACTCTTCTGAATCCGAGGGTAGAAAGTAAGTCTACCAAGAACTGACAGCTCCTATCAGCAAACAGATACTGGGCATATGTCTTCTTGTTTTCCAGGGGATAGAGGAGTTGACTGGGCTTTCTTAACTGGGTGACGGAAACATCGCCCAGAACCTGATGCTCACTATGTTGTCCCCAGTCATCTGGTAACAGCAACTGCTGACATCTTTGACAAAACTTTCTCTGAGTCAAGGGCAACTCAATAAACTTCAAGTACCTTCAAGAAAAAATAAAACACAAAGAAATATATTTGAAGTTTATTGTTGCAAACACAACGTATTTTGCTATTTTTAGCATCCAAAAAGTATTCTTACTTCCTAAAGAGTACTGCATAAAGGAGAAAGGTAGGAAGAAATCTGTGGAATGTTGGCTAGGATTTATGTCTGACTGCATACCTACAAAGAGGAAAAGGATCAGCAATTTCACAAGAATTGAGATGCTCCAATTTAGTCACTGAATGAAGATCAATATCCATTTAAAATGTGAATATAATATATTACTCAAACAACTTAGTAGTAATGACAACTACTATCAAGTTGAAATTTGTTGGCAAATCCACATGTTCTAACTTTGATCTGTTAAACAGCCTGGCTCACTTGATAGTCATTTTAAAATGAGAAATTAAGACCATTCTTCAAGTTCTTATGACATACTTGGCAAGAAAAATTACCTCCTAAAAGAAAAGATGTTTCTCAAAGCTTCTCTGTTCTTAGCAGTACTGATGGAGTTATAAGCTCACCTCCAAAACAGCAAGACAATATTCGAAGTCTTAAAAAAGACTACACTGAATAGCACATTTGATTTCTTTCAACTCACCCGTATGTTTGATTTCAAAGTCACCATTTCTTTTTTTTTCTTTTTAAATTTTATTACAGATTATTGAAGAGAGAAAATAATCATGGTCAGTATGTTTTAAAAACTGCTGGTTTTGTATATGTGATGCCAGTTATGAAATCAGAGTAAGAAAACAAAAGAAAACCACATGGTGAAAACCCACCTCTACTAAAAATATGAAAAGTGGCTAGGCATGGGAGCGCATGCCTGTAATGCCAGCTAGTAGGAAGGTTGAGGCAGGAGACTCACTTGAGCCCAGGAGGCAGAAGTTGCAGTGAGCCGAGATCACAGCATTGCACTCCAGCCTGGGCAACAGAGCAAGACTCCATCTCAAAAAAACAACACAAAACAAAAAAAGAAAAAGAAAAAGAAATAGTATTATTGAGGACCATAAGAGTCAGAAATGTCTAAAACTAAGCAGGTTAAACAGTGCACTAAATGATCCTTACACTTTGGGAAGAGTCATATCTTTTTTTTTTTTTTTTTTTGAGGAGGAGTCTTGTTCTGTCACCCAGGCTAGAGTACAATGGCGTGATCTCGTCTCACTGCGACCTCCACCTTCCAAGTTCAACCAATTTTCCTGCCTGGGCCTCCCGAGTAGCTGGGATTACAGGCATGTGCCACCATATCCAGCAAATTTTTGTATTTTTAGTAGAGATGGGTTTTCACCATGCTGGCCAGGCTGGTCTCGAACTCCTGACCTCAGGTGATCCACTCGCCTTGGCCTCCCAATGTGCTGGGATTACAGGCATGAGCCACTACACCTGCTGGGATTACAGGCATGAGCCACTACACCTGCTGGAATTACAGGCATGAGCCACTACACCTGGCCTAGTCATAACAGTTTTGATGGAACTAAATTTAGGAACTATAGTGTAAAAACTCTGAACCTAACATGTAATCAAAGTGAGTTTTAAACTTTTGTGTATCTACGCACAGTTTCACTTCAAAGCACCCAAGGCAGTGACAAATAGATATTCTGAATGGCTGTAGCAAGAAATAAGCTATCGTGCCAGTAATTTAAATGTTTCTATTCCTATGATAACTGATCTTTTGACAGCTTTATCTATAACTAGAAAGAAAAAGGAGATACAGGGATATTAGAAGAAACTTCTTAGTAATTCAAAGTGAGAATGTCAGTAGAAGAAAGGGCCCTATGACATGAAATGCAAGTGAAAGAACCAATAAACACTCTTTGGGAACAGATACATTTAATTTACTACTATTACCTTTCATCACTAAGTGCTAACAATGTTGAACAGGCCAGGCACAGTGGCTCACAGTGCTTTGGGAGCCCAAAGCAGGAGGATCAGCTCAAGACCAGTCTGGGCAACATAGTGAGACCTCATCTCTATAAACAATTGTAAAAATTAGTCAAGCATTGTGGTACATGACTGTAGTCCCAGCTACTTAGGAGACAGAGGCAGGAGGATCACCTGAAGCCAGGAGTTCAAGGCTACAGTGAGCTATGATTACGCCACCACACTCCAGCCGAGGCAACAGAGTGAGGCTCTGTCTCTAAAGTTGACAGCTTCCACAGCCAGCTATGATGGAGCAACAGAGACCAGATTTACCATTCTGGCCTTCAAAAAGAAGTTTTAAAAAGACGAAGTATGTGAAACAGCAGTTTTAAGGTATTAGACAGCTAGCAGCCCCAAACAGTGAATGCTGAGGGAAGGGAATAGAGAGAGGTGAGTGGTACAGCTGCCCTGTTTCCTGCCTGTGGAGAGCTGGCGGCACAGGGATGGGAAACCGAAATTCCCAAGGAACTGATGAGACAGAGCCAAGAACTCCAGGAGGCAAGGTGGCTAGAATTCACAAGAAGAGTACCGGGGAATAAACAGAGAGGGCAGGAGGGCAAAAAGGTGGACACTGCGAGAGAGAGAGAAAGTGCTCCAAGACCAGCTGACGATTCCACTCAGTCTTCTGCCGAGTACTGAGCAGCACATGCATGTGCAGAAACTCCCCAAGGCAAGGCAAAGAACCAGTGGCCAGGAGCAGGTGAAATCGTCAACACACACAGGACCACAATGGTTTGTCTCCCAACAAGCCAGAGTGGAAATGCCTCACAATACACAAGTACTCAAGTACTCAGAAGAGCACTGCCCCAGTAGGGGGGAAGAATTAGCCCTAGAACCAAGAAATGTTGCTCCGTCCTGCCTAAAAAGCTTAAAGACACACCTTCAAAAGCAGAGTCAGCAAACTTTTTCTGTAAAGGATCAGATAATAAATATTTTAAGCTTGAGTGGGCCATAAAGTCTCTCAGTCTCAACTATTCTGTAGTGATAGCAGAAAGGCAAACACAGCCAAGTGAACAGGCAAGGCCAGAGCTGCCCACGGGTAGTAGTTTGCTAACTCCTGCTCAAGAACATCAAACCACAACAAGTAACTGTCCCAGCACAAAATCAAAAATATATATAGGAATTTAAAATATCCAGTATATAACAAGATA